AGAAAGAGCAAGGCAACTGAGAAAGTGCACACTTATAAGGGACTCTGGATCCTATTCTGAGCCAGACAGGAAGTTATCCGGAGTTCTGGGCCAAGCAGGCACGACCCAATTTGTGTTTAACTGGAGTGTTTGCTGAGTGGTGATACACCAAGGAAGGAAGAAGGCCTTTCCTCTTTCTTCACTCTCCCCTCCCTCTCCCCCTTAGTCTTTTCTTTCATCCCTTCTCACCTCCTCCCCCCTTTCCTGTTCCTCCCCTCCTCTCTTGGAGTTTTACTGACACATTACAAAGCGCATAGCGAGATGGTGATGGACACTCCAGTCCTTTAGGTAGAAGACCATGGAGGTTTAGACTGTGGTGGCAGCAATAAGAAGTTACGTTCTGGATCCACTTTGAAGGAAGAGCTGGCCACATCTGGCGAGAGATCGGATGTGGAGCCGAGGCCGGAGCTTTCAAGGGCTGCTCTTGGAAGACTCCCGGGTTTGCTGAACCAAGCTCATGGAAGGATGAAGCCACCATCTGCTAAGACGAGGAAGGCAGAGTGGGTTTGGAGGGAGGGATAAAAGGTCACGCTTTAGTGGGAACATGTGAAGTTCAACACACACAGACAGGAGCAGGTGTTAGGTAGAGGTTGAATGTGCAAAGTTGGAGTGGAGAAGAGAGCACATTTGCCATATGGTTGTGTGATTTATAATTGATATCAGCAAATTACATACTAAAAAGTATGTGGTTGTAGAGAGAAGCCTTTTCCTTGCCAGCCGCTTTGGTTTTTTCCCACCAGTCGCCTGGGCTCTGCCGCGTTGTAGTCCCCAAATAACACACAAGACACTATTAATTATGAAGATGTTGGCCTTGCTTGTTTCTTACTGGCTAGCTCTGACTTAAGTATTTACCCCATAATTGTTGATCTAAGTATTTCTCTTACCGGAGAATAGGGTCCGGACTTCTTACCCCTATGTCAGCTGCCTGATGACTCTCTGTGTTGCTCTTTCCCAGAGTCCTCCTGGACTCCTAGTCCCACCTATCTTGCTTCCCTATTGGCCAACAGTGCTTTATTGACATATACACAGGACTTCCCCATCATGTGGTGTCTGTCTTAGGGTTTCTATTGCTGTGAAGAGCCACCACGACCACAGCAACTTTTGTCAAGGAAACATTTGAAGAAAAAAAAAAAGGCCAGGCGTTGGTGGCGCAGACCTTTAATCCCAGCACTGGGGGGGGGGGGGGGCAGAGGCAGGCGAATCTCTGAATTCGAGGCCAGTCTGGTCTACAGAGCGAGTTGAGTTCTGGGACAGTCTCCAAAAAATACAGAGAAACCCTGTCTCACAAAACAAACAAACAAACAAACAAACAAAAAACCCATTTGGTTGGGGTGTTTGGCTTACAGTTTCAGAGGTTCAGTCCATTATGATCATGCGGAGGAGCATAGCAGCGGGCAGGCAGACACGGTGGTGGAGAAGTAGCTGAGAGTTCTACATCTTGCAGGCAACAAGAAATGCTCTCAGACACTTGGCAGTATCTTGAGCATAGGAAACCTCAAAGCCTGCCTCCACAGTGACACACTACCTCCAACAAGGCCATGCCCACTCCAACAAAGCCACACCTCCTAGTGTGCCACTCTCTATGAGCTTATAGGGGCCGATTGCAGACCACCACAGTACCCAACTTGATAAGTTCTATCTGTATCTATGATGTGTGTTCCTGTTTCATGTGTGTTCCTCTTCATGGTCCTGTTTCACTGTATACTCATGTCCCAGGCAGCTACTGATCTGTTTCTGCCATAGACAGTGTGCATTTTCCAGAATTTCTTACATAGGAGTCTACACAGCATGGATCTTTTGCTGTCTGACTTCTCTCACTCACCTTCTTACTTTGGGGTTTATGCATGTCATTACCTGAAGTAGCAGTCCACTCCCCTATTTTATTAATGGACAGTAACTCATGCACAGCAATGACCTTAGTCTTCCATCTGTGGGTGGAAATTTGGGTTACTTCCAATTTGAGACTATTAAAATTAGAGTTGCCTGGGGCTGCAGAGACAGTTCAGCAGTTAAGAGCCCAGAATGTTCCTTCTGAGGACCTCAGTTTGGTTCTTAGCTCCCATGCCAAGTGTCTCACAACTACTTATAACTTCAGCTCCAAAAAGATCTGATGTCTCTAATGTCTCTAGCCTCTGTAAGCACCTGAATAAACAGGAACACACACACACACATACACACACACACACACACTTAAAATAAAATAAATTTGCTTTTGATTTTTGAGACGGGTTTTTCTGTGTAGCCCTGGCTGTCCTGGAACTTACTTCGTAGACCAGGCTGACCTCAAACTCACAGAGATCCATCTGCCTCTGCCTCCTGAGTTCTGGGATTAAAGATGTGAACCACCACCACCTGGCTTAACAGTAAAAACAAAACAAAGCAAACTTTTAAAGCTGTGTGAACTTTCCTGTCTTTGGGACTTGGTGTCTTCAGGTGAACCTAGGTTCCTTCTCTTGGGTGAGCATCTCAGGGAGGCATGCCTGGGTTATGTGGTGAAGTATTTTAGATCCTTAAGAAACTGCTAAATGGTTTTCCAAGGGGTTGTATCATTCTACATTTGGGCCAGCAGTGGGAATCTTCATCTGCTGCTTGGTCTGGTGGGGCTTTTTAAGTTCTGTGCACCCTAAGAGTTTATTGGTAAGGTATAGCTTTCCTCCTTGTTTCCATAAAGAGCGAAACGTTAAGCATCTGATCCTTTGTGGTTCATACTCAGCTGTGTGCTGCATATGGCAGCTGGGTCAAAAACAGACTAAATGTATGGTGAGGTCCCAGAAGCAGTAAGGAGCTGACCTACATTACTGTAGCCATCCCAGCATCGCAGTGCAATGTGTTACTGGCAGGTTCATGATGCTGTCGGTGTATCCAAACCCAGGGTGCTGCCAGTGGTATAACGATATCGCAATATAGCTGAGGATTACACATATTTAACCACGAGAGTAGCTATTATGCCGACTTGAGTAAAAAGTAGACTTTTCCCATTGTTCTAGAGGACATTCTTTCTGCTTACATAAAGAACTTTACTGTAAAGCCGTGTGCTGTGCTGTGCCAGCAGCGGCTCCACGGGCTTCGTGTTCACCATTTCACTGGCCGCATCATTCTCTCTGATCTGGGGATGTTTTGCTCATCCTGGTAAGCTGAACCTTTATTGACCCCCTTATCCCAGGAGTGCAGCAGGCCACCTAAGTTTGTTTGCCCAAGGATGCCAAGACCTAACAACCCATTTTCCAATGTTTCCTTTTTGCTAAGCAACAAAAGACAATATTCATCTACCTATCTGTTTATTTATTTACTTCTGAGACAAGGTCTCAGGTAGCCCAGGTTAACCAATAACTTAGTTTGTGCCTGAGGATGACCTTGAACTCCTGATTCTCCTGTCCCCTTTACCAAAGCCGGGATTACATGCTTATGCTACCCCACTCAGCTTGATTACGTATATGTGTTTGTGCATTCTTTTTTTAAAAGATTTTATTTATTTATTTTATGTATGAAAGCTCTATCTTCATGTCTGCCTTTATGCCAGAAGAGGGCATCAGATCTCATTATAGATGGTTGTGAGCCACCATGTGGTTGTTGGGAATCGAACTCAGGACCTCTGGAAGAGCAGCCAGTGCTCTTAATTTCTGAGCCATCTCTCCAGCCCCGTGTTTGTGCATTCTTTAAGTGGTAGAAGTTGATGTTGATCGCAATCGAGGTGTGAATAAATAAACACAGCATCTTTTCCTTCCCCATTCCCACGCCCCCTTAAACATAAAAAAAATTCAAAAAGTCACTTCATAGCCCTTTTGGCGACAGTTGATCCTCATATTGTTTTAAACAGACTGCAGCTTGGTCCTCTGAAACCCTTTGAGCTGCAATACATCCACTAAGGGATCACAGGAAAGAAACCCCACTGCTATTTCTGGTCGTCTACAGCTAGTGAGCAACTGCCAAGTTGCTGGACTGTCACTGTCATGAAGATGACTGAGAAGGGCACTTCAGCAAACTGAAGGCTGCTGGGAAACTGTGAAGAGACAAGCCCTGCCCACAAGTTACTGTCTCTGTCATTAAAACTCCCGGAGGAGGCCATACATCACAGCTGACCCACTTGTGGCTGCCAGTCCATTGCTTGCCGCCAGTGGCAGAGGTTTTCCTGCCTCTGTCTGGAACCACACTACAGTCAATCCTGGAAAAGTGACCTTCCCAAACTTCAACACTGCCTTCCAACTGTGGCGCTCTAGTTTTGAATGCTGTCAGATTTGCTCTGGGGCTTATGCCAAGCTGGAGAATCCCACCACCATCGCATCTATAATTCACCAGGGACAAGGCTGTCTCTGGAACTCCTCCTTCTTGACTCTAGCTGCCCCATTTTTTGGGGGGGGGGAGGTTTTGTTTTTCGAGACAGGGTTTCTCTGTATTGTTTTGGAGGCTGTCCTGGAACTCACTCTGTAGACCAGGCTGGCCTTGAACCCACAGAGATCCGCCTGCCTCAGCCTCCCGAGTGCTGGGATTAAAGGCATGCACCACCAATGCCTGCCTGGTGCTGTCCCATTTTCTAATTCCTTCCGGTAGATGGTCCTTTTCCCCTTTTATAGGGACATCTTAATGATAGCAGGTTACACTCCCAAGCCAAAACAAAGAACGAATTTTAGTATTAATTGTATCGTGTCAATTTACTGACATATTAATTGTATGAACTAAGGTTTATGTTTTCCAAATTTCCCACACCTTGAAACTCACATTGCTTTACATGTATTTAATTTTTTTTAAAAAGTGGCTTTGCAAGGACAAATACTAAAGCACCTTTAAATGTATCAGAGAATGGTGTTGCTGTCCTCATCCCAGGCTGCAACTTGTTGGGTCTCCGTTATCTTGTTAACTGCAAGCCAGTAAAGTGCCCCAAAGTCTTCCCCACACATCATCTCAGGATACTAAAGACGCATAATTATATGACATAATTATTTTAAAACCAGACACAGCTTCTCTTACTCTTCCAGCAACTCAATCTGTTACAAATGTTACAAAAACTGTAGCTACCATAAGTGAACACAGACGAGGATTCTCATCACACCATGGGGCAGAGACTTCGAGTCTTGCTAGCTGGGTGGGCTCGTAGTTTCTGGCTGGAAGGATGAATAGAATTATTTATTACAGGGTCCTTGCAAGGATTTGCAGGAAATAGGCTTAACATGGCGCCAAGGACAGAGAAAGTGTTCAGCAAACCCGAGCTGTTGTTGTGACTACCAATTTCAGAGCTACTCTTAGAGAAATGAAGCAGATCGGTAGCCAGGCAGCATCGCTCCACCTCTGTCGCCGGAGGCGCAAGAAAAGGGGCAGGGCCACCCGAAGCCCCGCCCCTTTTAACGGCGTTCAGTTGTCTGGGCAACGCGCCGCAGGGTCGCAGCTGGAGTGACGCGAGGTGTCTTACTGAAGGCTCTCAGAGCACGGTAATCTGAGAGATGGCTGAAGAGGACTCGGAAAGCGCGGCCACCGACTCCCAGACGGAGGAGGATGGCGAGCTGCCTGTCATCCAACTGTGTGGGCTGGTGGAGGAGCTCAGGTACCGGCACCGTGGGCCTCTGCGGCCTCAGCGGCAGCCTGCAAACCACCCAGGCCTGCGCCGGGCGCCGCGGGGACACAGCCCACTACGGTGGAGAAGAAACTTCTTTGGCTTGTTACTCTTGCTTCTTGCCTACTCCTTTGCTGACAAGCCACTGATGGAGCCAGGGATAGGAGTCGGGTGACCTTGCAAAGACCAGACAGGATTTGGTGAAGCTAGAGCTTAGCCTGGTGTTTCCCTGGTGCCCGGCAGCCGCTCTCCCGATCTGCATCAGGTGGCCTCCTAAGCCCTTCTCCAAAGTGATGAGTTCCAAATGATAAAGCTTAACAGAGCAGCTGAGTGGAAACGAAGCTATTGAAATGATTTGATTGAGACACGGACTGAATGAGGGGTTAAGCATGGAGTTGTGAGAAATGATTGGCCTGGTGCTCTGTATTTTCCACAGCCTGTTTTCTACCTACCACAGCAAGTTTAGCTGGTTCCGAAGATTCCGTGGTGTAGTTGAGGTTCTGTGTACAATGTGTTGGTATTAGACGGTATCCTGTTTCTGGCAGCCTCAATAGATGTTGCTTCTGACCTTCATCAGAATTGAGGAGTTACTACCAATAGCTACCATTTTGAGTGTCTGTCATATACACAGCCTTACATATGATACAGCAATCCTAGGAGGTCACACTTGCTGAAGTTTCCTTCCCTAAGGTCATGCAGCAGAGAGAGATTCAGACCGGGGGACCCCTGAAAGGCTCCACTGAGAATACAATAGGTGCTGGAAAAGGCAAGATGTCTTTTTTTTTTCAAGACAGGGTTTCCCTGTATTGTTCTGGAGGCTGTCCTGGAACTCGCTTTGTAGACCAGGCTGGGCTCGAACTGACAGAGATCTGCCTGCCTCTGCCTCCCGAGTGCTGGGATTAAAGGCGTGCACCACCAACGCCTGATTTTACTTCACTTTTCTTTGCTGGTGTGTGTGTGTGTGTGTGTGTGTGTGTGTGTGTGTGTGTGTGTGTCTTGATTTTCCTTTCTTTTCCATTAGGCTTCTGTACTAATCTTAAATCCAGGAATTAGGTTAACAGTACACCTAGGCCTCGATGCTGCTGTCTCTTCTGCATATGTATTTGTGTATGTACATACAGATAGAATGGGAAAGTTTTGGACAGCCTCCAAAGCCACAGAGAAATCCTGTCTCAAAAAACAAAACAAACAAACAAAAGAATGGGAAAGTTTTAGGACTAGGGATGTTGCTCTCCAATTGGTTCGATCCCAGTACTACACACACACACACACACTTAAAGATGCACATGGTGACTCACACCTTTAGTCCCAGCACCAGTGAGGCCGGTGGATTTCTGTGAATTCAAGGTCAGGCTGGTCTACATAGTACAAGTTCCTGGCTAGCCAAAGCTACACAGTGATGCTTTGTATCTTTTTTTGGGGGGTGGGGTTTCAAGACAGGGTTTCTCTGTGGCTTTGGAGGCTGTCCTGGAAATATCTCCTTGTAGACCAGGCTGGTCTCGAACTCACAGAGATCCGCCTGCCTCTGCCTCCTGAGTGCCGGGATTAAAGGTGTGCATCACCACCATCCGGCGATGCCTTGTATCTTAGTTTCTTTTCTATTGCTGTGACAAAACACTATGGCCAAGGCAACTTATAAAAGAAAGCATTTAGTTTAGGGGCTCATGGCTCCAGAGGGTTAGAGTTCATGATGATCATGGTGGGCAGCTTGGAAGCAGGCAGGCAGGCATGGCGTTGGAGCAGTAGCTGAGAGCTTACATCTGATTCACAAGCACAGGGGCAGAGGGCATGCAGGAACTGGGAAGGGCATGGGCTTTTGAACCCTCAAAACTCACCACCAATAACACACCTCCTCCATCAGGGTCACACCTCCCAATCCTTCCCAAACAGTTCCTCCAACTGGAAACCAGTCACGCAAATACCTGAGCCTAATGGGGTCATTCTCATTCAAGCTACCATACTCTGTCTCCAAACAAACATTAAAGGCAAATTTTCTATATGAGAAATAGTTATAAAAGTCGTAATCTTGGCATATACAAAATAAGCTAGATATGTTTAAAGACTTCTTCTGTTTATGATTAATGTCCAGTGGAATTTCTAATCTTTTGGGTGCTGCCAGTAAAAGAGCAGGGATGCATAAGCCATAGTCTGAAGATGGTGGGTGGGCATATATAGCTTCAATAAAGTAGTTATTCAGTACTTTTACAAATGACTTAGATGATACCTGAAGATGGGCCCAGCAACAACAGTCATCAGTAGGACACCAGGACTCTAAATACTGTGACATGTTAAACAAATAACCAAGAGATCCAATAGTCTAGCGGCACTACACGAAGCTGCTCCCAGGTCATTGCACTCTACCCTTAAAGAAAGGTGATGTTATTATACCTGTTGTTCTTTGCTGCAGCTTTGGGAGATGAACCGCCAAATTCAACGAACCCACATGGAGTTTATTGGGCAAGGGAGAGAAGGGAGGGGTAGGTGTTAACCAATTGAGAGCAGAAATGGGAAGAGAAAGAACAGGAGGGAAGCACTTGCTCATAAAGGGAAAGGGAGTGGTTTAGAACAAGGCTCAGCAGTTGGGGCCATTGAAACTGGAGCCATAGAGCTCCGTGTGACCCCAGCTTTGCATGGTTTCTGCATGTAGAGTCCTTATGCAGCCACTTAATGCATGCATGGCGTAGTCATGAAATCCTTGACAGCCTTTAGTGACGAGCGATCATCTGTCAAAAACAGATCCAGGGGTAGGGGAAGGTCTCCAGGAGAAGAGCAATCTCAGGGTGGAGAGAGAACCGAGGATTATAGAGACCCAGAGACCAGGAAAGATTCCTTAAGGAGAAGGCCCAGGCCCAGGAGAGGGCTGGGGCAGAGTGATACGTGGATGTTGAGGAGAAACCACGGGGTGGGAGAAGGAGAGGAGTCAGGAGCAGGAACAGGGCCAGGTTGCCCAGGACCTGGGGAGAGGGACAAGCCAGGATATCAACAATACCCGTTACAGGTGAAGAAAGGAAGGCACGAAACGCTGCATGTCTGACAGAAGGCCATGTGTGGCCAATACTGTACTAAATACTGATTACTTGGGGTACTAGTCATAGAATTCACTTAGGTGCCCTCTATCTTACAGCTATGGAAACTCTGCTCTCAAAACAGAAACAGAGATGTTTGAGAAATATTACTCTAGACTGGAACCCAGGGACCACCGAATGCCACGGTTATCAGAAATTAAAGTATCAGCAGCAGAATTTTCACAGGTACACAATGAAAGGTGAAAACTGTTTCATCCTGTTTGCCTCCATAAATGCAAATAGTGTTGTGTATCTGCCTTTGGTGTGCCTGCCTGGGTCAAATGGCCATACGACTTCTCTGTTCTTCTTTGTAACGATTCCATCCCTTCTAGTTCCTTTCAAGTGAGAGAATCCCATTCACCTAGCAGCTGACTCTTCCAGAATAGTTTATCCAGAAGCACACCTTGAAGGCTGGCATGGTAGCGCAAACCTATAATCCTGGCACTTGCGAGGCCCAGGAAGGAAGGGCACAGAGTTTTAGGTAAGCATAGGTTACAACTACTACAGACCGTGTCTCAAAACAAACAAAAACCCAATGCTTGCCTAATAGACACAGGGCCCTGGGTTCAAACCATTTCACTGAAAAAAGAAATTTCTTTAAATGGGGAACTCCGTTTACAAGGTCTGTCCAAACCAGGCTTGGTTGCCTTTTGTTAAATATGGTGCAGTATAGGACTTTGGTGGATCCTATGACAGAGGAAAACCAGGTCATCAGGTAGAACTTACATGGAAAGGAAGTTTTATTAGGGAAGGGAGTGGAGAAAGGGAAGGGAGAAGGGGAAGAGAAGAGAAAGAGGGGGAGAGAGAGAAAAGAGAGATGGGGAAAGACAGCAGGTAGGGATCTGTCTGCCTCCTTAGAGATGGAGGAAAGAGCAAGAAAGAAGAGGTGGGTGGAGTTTGCCTCTTGAAGAAACCTTTGCACCTGCGTACAGACATAGCAGCCATAGAACCTGGGCTGGTCAAGGCACTGCCTGAGTGCATTCTGCCAGGTGACAGGAGACAGGCCAGCATAATGCCTGAATCCTAACATCTTTAATCCTAGAACTCAGGAAGTAGACCCAAGCCAAGCTCTGCAAGTTTTATGTAGCCAGCCTGATCTACATAGGGAGTTCCAGGTGAGCCAGAGATGCACAGAGAGACCCTGTCTCAGAACAGTCACAAACGAGGCCTGCTCAGCCACATAAATGAGCAAAGTGCCCATCTCAAATGGTCAGTCGGTGTCCGTTGATTCCTGGAGGAGGAAACAAATTTACTCTGAGATTCACACCTTACCTTAACCACCTTCCATGATCATTGCCTTTAAGGGCCTCGATTATTCATAATTTTTGTCTCTTTTGCTTAACACAGTGCCCCAGACACATTGCTCTTCGGTGCTCATCTAGGAGCACCGAACTCTAGGCCTTCCCTGGTCCATAGATGGGGTATTTCCAAAATTCCTTCCCTGGGGACATGTGAACAGTAACTATCCTATCCTCCTAAGGTCCCAACACAAACCAAAGTACAAATCCCCCACAGTGAGTTGACAGGGCTTATTTAGCAAGTCATGGGTGACCCCAAAGTGTCTACCCTGCAAAATCTTCACCCAGTATGCATGATGGCTTCCCCATAGCTTCATAGGGGAAGCCCCCGCCCCAGTCCTCCCTAGTCTATACTCTTGCACCATCTGGAGACCTCATACAGTTAGGGCAGAATTGCCTGTAAGTGGCTGGGAGGAGTGGCCAGAAACTCCAGTGAGGGTCCAGTGACCTTCTCTGCTCCTTCTGTGAGGGAATGTCAACAGTCCACAGACATGATTGTGACAGACTCTCCAAAGTACATACAGCTGTTTCCTGGAGATGGCAACAGTTTGGCTCACAGGATAGTGCATTACAATACTGGTCCATGGCATTTCTACCCTTGAGATAGTTCTTATATATTTCAACTCATTGTAAAACATAACCATTGTGATATTTAGTGCAGGGCCTTAGGATGACTTGGGAAATGTTGTTTTAGGCCTAATGTCCAACATCCCTTCACCATGTCTTCTCCCTGGCTCCCTGGATCCCTCCAGGGCACCTACTAGTAGGTCTCAGAATTCATTTGATGACTGCCTAGGGCTGCTAAGTCACCAATTCCTCTTTGACCCTGACTTGGTTTTGCTTGGGTTGCAGTTTCGAAGCAGGCGTAAATCCAAGGCCCGCTCAGGTCTGGACCGTTCAGCAGGCCTCACTGTAGACCAAAAACTTGAGCTTGTACAGAAGGAGCTAGAAGACACAAGAGATGAAATTCGGCACATGCGGGCTAATGCAGAACGGGACCTGCAGCACTATGAGGTACCCCTGCTCCCTGGGCTGCACCTCTCCATCTGTGTGGTGTCCACATCCTGCTGGTCCTCAGAAGAAACTCAGCACACAATCTTAAAACTTGCTTCAATACATATTAAAAATATTGAGAAAAAAAAAAGCCAGGCGGTGGTGGTGTATGCCTTTAATCCCAGCACTCGGGAGGCAGAGGCAGGTGATCTCTGTGACTTGGAGACCAGTCTGGTCTACAAGAGCTAGTTCCAGGACAGTTTCCAAAGCCACAGAGAAACCCTGTCTTGAAAAACAAACAAACAAAAAATAAAATAAAAATAAAAATACTCCAGTGTAGAGAACTACCATCACCACCAACACCCAGATATGACACTCATTGGCATAAGACCACTCTGGTTCCCATTTCCACATGGGGATACTAGGATGTGAACTCTAGTGTATTGTCTACTGTAAGTATTTTATCATCTGTCTTTAAAATATGGTTCCTTTTTTAAAAGCATAGCCATGGGCTGGAGAGATGGCTCAGTGGTTAAGAGAAGGTTTTTTCTTTTGCAGAGGACCAGGTTTCAATTCCCAGCACCACATATATAACTCTAGTCCCTGGAGATATGATGCCCTCTTCTGACCATCAAGGGTACAGGCACATAAGTGGTCTATATACATACATGCAAGCAAAGCATTCATATACATAAAAATAAATAAATCTTCAGCCTCTGCCCCATAACTGCAATAACTATGCAGGCCCTCAAGTTTTTTTAAAAATAATTCTTTAATTGTCAGGCATTGATGGCACACACCTTTAATCCCAGTACTCGAGAGGCAGAGGCAGGTGGATCTCTGTGAGTTTGAGGCCAGCCTGGTCTACAGAGCAAGTGCCAGGATAGACCCCAGAGCTACACAGAGAAACCCTGTCTCAAAAAACCAAAAACAAATAAAAATTAAAGTAACTCTTTAATAACACAAGGAGTTTAAGGGTTAAGTGAGTGAATTAGCCTCAAACTCATGGCAGTCTTCTTCCCCCATCCCCTCAAGTGCTTGGCTCACAGGCACTTACCACCACACCCAGATCTTCCATATCTTTATGGCTGGACCTTTAATGGATTAATAATACTCCCAATATGGAAATAGTGACAAAGACAATTGGTCTTTTGTTGACTTGTCAGATTCTGTGTTTTTTTTTTAACTTGCAATGCATGTTTTAAAATAACAGTTGTCATATAATCATCTTTGTACTTAAAGATGTCTTTCTGAGCCCAAGAAGAAATAGCTGCAGTGAGTCAGAGGCAGTGGGACTTAGGTGTCCTTAGAGGGTGTGCTGTGGAGTTTTCTGGAAACCATTCTCTCTTGGCTGACCCTTCCAGGCTATCATTGAGGAAGCTGAAATTCGATGGGCTGAAGTTCAGAGAGCAGTGCATGACTTTGAAAAAGATATCCTGAAAACCATATCCAAGAAGAAAGGGAGCATCCTGGCCACTCAGAAAGTGATGAAGTACATCGAGGATATGAACCGCCGGAGGGTGAGTTGACAGCAGAGCTTGCAATCAGAGAGCCGGTGCTTTTTGTTGTCGTTTGTTGTTACTGTTGGGCTTTTCTATGGAACAGTCCTGGCTGTCTTGGAACTCACTCTGTAGACCAGGCTGGCCTCAAACTCAGAGATCTGCTTACCAAGTGCTGGGATTAAAGATTGTGCACACCTTTAATCATAGTATGTCTACATGGTCTACATAGCAAGTTACAGGACAGCCAGGGCTATGTAGAGAGACCCAGCCTCAAAAAACAAAACAAAATAAAAGAACTAATTCTTAGGGCAGTGACACAGAAATGACCTACATCCTGCAGCCTGTGCTGTGGTAACCACTGCTGTCATTACCTGACTTCCCTGACAAGGCAGCAATGCCCATGTGTTGATAAACCACTCTAGGGACAGCTTCAGGGAACAGCATCTGCCTAATCCCATATGAGCAAACACTTATGTAGTGGAAGCCTAATGACTGTGATTGGTTAGCACGTTACCTTGGATTGGATAGTGAGCACTCACACCACCAGGGACTTTATGCAAAGAAGACTCATCCAAAGGCCAGTTACCATTGGCTACTAAGGCTACTTCAGACTTCAGTGTTCTGACTTCAAGAGCAGGCTGTGCTGTGCTTCTTATTAGAAAAACATTGTGCCAGGTAGGCTGGCCGCCAGGTTATGCCTGTATTTTCTCCCACATGTATAACATAGTTTTTAAATCTCCAAGAGTGTGTACGTATCTAAATTTTAAAAAAAAATTATATTGTGTGGGTTTCCTCTTTGTTTGCTTGTGTGCTTTGCCTAGGTATATTTACATGTACCATGTGCATGGCCTGGTGTTTGTGTAGGCAAAAAGAGGGCATCAGATCTCCTGCAATTGGAATTAGGATTGGTTGTCAGTCTCCATATGGGTGCTGGGAATCAAGCCCAGGTCCTCTAGAGGAGCAGAACTCTTAAGTGTGGAACCATCTCTCCAACCCCCACAACACCCAAAACATATGTTTTAAATACATGTTTACAAAAGGAAAAAACAACCAACCAGGCAGGATGTGTATTTGTAGTATATCATATTGTTTCCTCTTGCTTATCTGTTTTGAGATCTGTGTGCATCCTTGAAAAAGGTGTGAACTAGACAGGTTACTGCACAGGGTGAGACAGGTCACTCTCCAGAGCTTTTCATCTCCTTCCTATGAGGAGATGGGCCCAGACTGACAAGAGAAAGGAAGGGGAATTGGGTCAGGAGAGTATGCTTTCAATCAAAAAGATTTTGGGTAGCATGTTAAGTTTTGGGCCCTGGGGTCAGTTGAGCAGAGTTCTTAATCCTAACACGCTGTGAATGTTAAAAATTTGTAGCCTACGGGACTGGAGAGATATCTCAGTGGTTAAGAGCACTGACTGTTCTTCCAGAGGACCTGGGTTCAATTCCTAGCACCCACATTGCAGTTTACAACTGTCTGTAACTCTAGTTCCAGGGGATCTGATACCTTCACCCCCTGCACATAAAGTAAAAGTTAAATAAGTTATTTAAAAAATTGTAGCATACCACATGAACAAAAGACCAAATAGTCCCAAGATTATATATCAGTAAAGTCCCCTGCAGTAGCACCACACCCAAAAAATGCCAAATGCAGATGTACTATGGTAGGACATGGAGCCAACCAAGTTTCCTCTTCATTTAGGCTTCTAGTGAAATGGCATCTCAGTACCTGTTTGGGAAGAATTAAGTTGAAAACAAATGACTGAATGTTAGAGCTCAAGGTCTGGTTTGTAGTTCCAGATTTATTGTACAGAGTAATGGGTATAGATGAGTAATTGATTAAAATGTGCTTTTTCTAGGATAATATGAAGGATAAATTAAGTTTGAAAAATGTTTCTCTTAAAGTTCAGAAGAAAAAGATGCTTTTACAATTGAGACAGGTATGTGGATTTTTTTCCTTTCTTTTTTTGGGGGGAGGGATTTCAAAACAGGATTTCTCTGTGTAGCCCTAGTTGTCCTGAAACTAGCTCTGTAGACCAGGCTGGCCTCAAACTCACAGAGATCCACCAGTCTCTGCCTCCCAAGTGCTGGGATTAAAGGCGTGCGTCACCACCGCCTGGTCCCCTATCTGAGTACTATCCCTACCCATCAACCCACCCACCCACTCCTCTCAAATATTCTTGTCCTAGTTACTGGGATTTTTAAACAGGTTATTTTACACAGTAGAAGAACTTTGCAGTTGTTATTAATTTAGAGGTCTTAAGAAGGAGAGATGAAAAAAAAGGAGAGATGTCCTAGCTTCATTTCTGTTGCTATGATAAAATATCCTGATAAATAGAAACAGGGTTGAAGGATATTTTTCAGCTTATAGTCCCCAGTTACGGTCCATCATCATGAAGAAGTCAAGGTGGCAGGGGCTTCAAACAGCTCATCACACCACACCCACAGTCAAGAGCAGAGAAATGAAAACAGCCATGCTTTCTTACCTGTTTGTGCTCAGCTGGATTTCTGCACTCTTTTCTTTCTTTCGTTTTTTTTTTTCAAGACAGGGATTCTCTGTATTGTTTTGGAGGCTGTCCTGGAACTCGCTCTGTAGACCAGACTAGCCTCAGACTCACAGAGATCTGCCTGCCTCTGCCTCCCGAGTGCAGGGATTAAAGGCGTGCGCTACCAATGCCCGGCTTGGATTTCTGCACTCATAATACAGTTCAGGATGCCCAGCCTAGGGGCTAGTGCTACCCACAGTGGGCTGGATCTTCCCATGCCAATTAGCTTAATTAAGATTCCTCTATAGGCCAGTCAATGTAAACAAACCCTTGTTGAGACACTCTTCCCATGTAATTCTAGGTTGTGTCAATTGGACAATTAAAGCTACCCCACACTGTAGATGATCTTGGGTTACCTGACTGCACCAACACTACTTCCCTCCTTCTGAGAGAAAGGAAAGAGGGTGAGAGGAAATATAACAAGCAGGGGTCATAAGCCAAGGAATACAAGCAACTTCCAGAAGCTGAGAAGAATAAGGAAATGTTCTTACCAAGAGCCCCCAGAAGGAAGGAAGGCAGCACTGATAGCATTATGATTTTAGCTCCAAACCTATTCAGATTGACAGCCTCCAGAATGGGGACATAATACTCCTGCATGGTTTTAAGCCACTGGGTTTGTAGCAATTTGTTGCAGCAACCAGAAGAAACCAATATAGCTACTGGGCAGGCAAATTCAGGGCTTTCTGTAGACATAACTGGCTTTAATTTGAGAGTCTTATGACACACACATACGGCTTTTTGAGGGATATGGCTGAGTGGCATCATTTACTGTGCAGTGGTGTTTCAACAGATGACTTTAAGGGCTCCCAGTTAAAGGCCAGAGACCTGGCATGGCTAAAGGATTCTGGAGCATGGTCTGTGGCTTTATCATTTCCTTGTTCAGTGTTTTTATCATTATTTCAAATATGGCCTCGGATGACATATGCTTCAGAGGTAGCTGTGGATAGTGAGGAGGGCATGGGCAGGGCAATGTTCTTGTCAGGCAACTATTGCTTGGTTGACTCAGGATCCAGAGAGACCTCGTCAGGCTAGAGCAGCCCTCACATGATTAAGGAGAAATGCAAGACTCCCAAAATATCTGCACAGGCACAGGCTTAGGTGCCATGCCTGTGACAATCAGCATGGGCTCAGGCTGTCCTAGAAACCAGACCAAGGAGGGACTGGCTGGGCTCTGCCTTCTCCGTGCAGCCCCACCAATGTGAGCTCCACACTTGAAAGGAGCTCAGCGTGGAGATGGCGAGAGGAGGGAGGGTGGCTGTCTGTGCTGAGGGCTGCCATGGAAAGGAAGAGGCCATGAGGGCTACAAGAAGGAATGCTGCCCAGTGGCTGCTGCAGATGGTGAGCTCCTGGACTCCAGGGCTTCCTGCAGGCTCAGGCACCATGATGAGGGACTTGAAGTAAGAGTATGTGGATGACCTTTAACCTATATGTCATTGCTGCACAGAGATGAACGACTTGTGAGCCCAGTCCCTAAGCACACAGGCTAATGGAGCGGAGTGTCCTGAGAGGAGCATCGTGTACCTTTGTATAAAGGGGACAGAGGCACAAGGGCCTAGAGCTACCTTATCAGAGGTCCAGTGGCCAGTGGGGTTGCCCTGGGTGCAGAAAACAGGCTATGCAGTGTTGCTGGGTGAGCGGTATCTGGAGTTAAGGTGGTGTTTGGGAGGGAGCAGCAGCCCCGGTGCTTAATACCGCTCAGTAGAGAGTAGCGGTGGAAAGGCACAGCAACTCCCAAGCCGGCTGTTCCCACAAACAAGGGGCATGGGCCTAGACAGGAATTGGGGGCACAGTTTAGAGAGGGACCCCATAAACACACCTATAAAAATGAAGGCTCAAACAAGGTGAATTTTTGGGTAGCCTTTTGGGGGTTTCCAGGTTTAGAAGTTGAATTTATTTTTTTGCTTTTGAGACAAAGTTTTGCCACACAACCTACTATGGTTTCAATCTTGAAGTCCTCCTGCCTCAGCCTTCCAAGTGCTGGGATTACAGGATTGTGCCACCAAGTCCAGATTAAAAGTCACTTTTAAATGTCCTGCCTTTCAGTCTGCCCTCACAGCTTTGTCAAAGTATCATTTCCTCTGTGGGCAGTCTCCCCTAGCCTGGCCTGGCACTAGGACAGCTGTGTGCTGGGTCCCCACACAGAACACACTGTGCTGTTCTGTCACCGTTTTTGACTTTCCCATGAGTGTGTTCCTTGAGTCTGGAGGCATTCTGTTAACTTAAGAGGGGAGCCCTAGTACCTACTGCCATGCCAGTGCCCAGGATGTTTCAGGGAACAGTGGCAGATCTCCGAACAGACTGCAGGACAGGAGCGTAAACTAATGGTCACACCTGACCTTGCCTCTGTTCTTCGTGAACCACAGAAGGAGGAGGTTGGCGAGGCCCTGCACGACGTTGACTTTCAGCAGCTGAAAATCGAGAATGCTCAGTTCTTAGAGACGATTGAAGCAAGGAATCAAGAACTGATCCAGTTGAAGCTGGCCTCTGGGAACACCCTGCAGGTCCTCAACACATACAAGGTAAGGCCCACCCCAGGGCCAGGCACCCAGCCAGGCTTGCACATCCACCGGCCCCACCTCAGGGAGGTCCCTGTGCACTCAGGGGGGGTCACTCAGACTGTAGCTGTTTCCTGTTGCCCCCTGACTTCTCTCGACTTGGCAAAGCCTGGTCTCATAAAATCTCCAGAATGCTCTCACAGTCCTAGCTGTCCATGAGGCCCACCTGGGAGCCTTTTACTTTTAAAAATGTACATCTCTGCTCTAATCCCACCCTGGCAGATTGAATTAGGGGCCAAGGGCTATGGATCTGGCTTTGTTTTGAATTCCCTGGGCGATTTTTATGTACAGTGTTTGAAAGTGAACCACACTTGGTTTAATTGAGGGATGCATTGAGCTCTTCAGTTAAAACAGTCTCAGCCATAAATCAGAAAACTGCTAAATTATTTATCATCTGAATGCAACACTTTGGGGTGACAGAAGAGGCACTATCAATAATTAAGCAGGGATGAGTATGAATAGGGCCTGTCCCCAGCAGACCAAGCCATCTGGTCGCCCTCTGAGTGATGAAGTATTGCAGTGGTCAGCGAGATGTGTGAGTATGCCACATCCCCTGTCCTGCCAGCTAAGAATGGCTTTCGAAGAAGAGCACATGCCTGCAATTGAATGATGAAGAACATTGTCAGACCAACTCACAAATACTGAGCTCTCTTCTTTAAAGTCCATATATGTATGTATATATATAATCTATATATAGACATATCATCTATAGATATATATCATCTTGTTTATACATATATAAATAACACACACACACATATATATCACATCCTATTATTTCTAGTGTGCACATGTGGGCTTGTGAGCAAGTATACCATGACATGCTTGTGGAGGTCAGAGGACGGCTTACAAGATTCAGCTCTTGCCTACCATGTAGGTTGCAGGGATCAAATCCAGGTTGTCAGGCATGGCTGCAAACAGATCTACCTGCAGAACCACCTCACCAGCCCTATTCAAAAGTATTGCACTCAGTTATTATGCTTTTACTTTCACCAATAAAACACTTGTAGGACTCTGGAGGCTTTTCTCTTGTTAGCAGAAGTAGCTATCTGTGTGCAAAATTTTGCCTCTGGTCCTGCAAAGCTGAAAATACTTACTATCTGGTCCTTCACAGAACAAGTTTGCTGGCTCTTGGCCTTGTCCCTGGACAGTGGTGGCTGTAGCCTAGGTAGCCTACATGTAGGCTTCATGTGGTCCACAAAAATATGATTAACAATGTGAATTTGTAGCTGGGCATGGTAATGTGTCTATAATTCCTGCACCTGAGCATAAGGATGGGAAGGGCAGCTTGGGCAACATTTGGAGACCTTGCCTCCAAACAAACAAAACCTCCCAAAAATCCTCACAAAAAAGAAAAACAGTGAATTTGAATGTGTTACACCAGACTTATGTTTGCTCAACATTTCCTTTACAAATCAAAAAACAAAACAAAACAAAAACCTAAAGCAAAGATGCTGAGTTTTTGTTAAGAGTCAAACCATAAATAAGAGCCAGCCCAGTGTGTGTCCCATTCAACCTCCTTCATCCTGCAGAGCATGAAGAGCTACCGAGCCAGCGTTCCGAAGCTCATGTGTGACTGTCCACATCTGGCTCATGTGTGACTGTCCACATCTGGCTTATGCCATCTGGACAGTTAATTCTGAATGAAACCAGTCCGGATGGATGACTTCAGGTCCTCAATGACTGGATAGCTGCTCACACTGGGCCTTGACTGTATCCCATAGAGACAGTTAAGGGGTACAGGGCCTGCCTCGACTTGTGGGGTTTGGGCAATGGAGCTGCAGTTTCCATGGCGAAGCTGCCAGGTTGCAGAACCTGGGCTCCACAGGCTGGGTCTAAAGTCAGTGTAGACTGCTGGTGAGTGGGAACAGCGCAGGCCAGTCAGAATACTGCCCATGAGCCTGTCGCACGAGAAGGTGAACAAGAGTGGAGGTGGGAAGATGCCCGTGGGAGTCTGAGAGTGCCCAATGAGGAGCTGAGCGAGACTCTAGCGTGCTTCTGCTGGCTTCTCTCAAGTCCCAATTCTAGGCTCTTGTAGGGGAAATGGGCGCAGAACAGGAGTGGCTCAGGGAATCTGATCCCACTGGGATTGAATGGTGGCTTTCGGGGGGAGTGGCAATGCTTCATCTGGTGTAGGTGCTCCAGCTGCTAGAGACAAGGTCCACATCTCACCTCTGGACTTGCTTTGTATGGTCTGTGCAGCGTACCCAGCAACAGGAAACAAGGCCTGCCCAGAGCAAATGCTCAGCAAATAGCAGCTAACCGGCAGCAGTTTGGGCGTGGTTTTGGTGGTCATGGGAGGGTGAAAGGAGGAGCCGTTTGGCACAGAGATTAAACAACCATGTAAGAGACCTTGCTGGAACCATTCAGACCAACTCCCCTCTATTGGCAACAGTAAAAATGCCCATACATGCCAGAGACAGGGCCAAATGCGCAGGGCACAGCTCTGAGACCATATAGGTAGGCACGCGAGCTGTCTTCTCTTCTGTGACTGTCCTAAGTGAGCCTGAGTGCGGCTGGTGCTGGTGTTTTCTGACCCCATGCCCTCAGGCCTGCCTGGTGAGCTCAGCAGGGCATAAACTCGTGACTACATGGGTCGTGATTCACCCTCAACTGACTTAAGTGACCTGGTGCCCTGAGGAGGATAGAATTATAAGGAGTCCCCAGCCTCACTCACAGGAGCACACCCAATACAATGCAAATCCAGACTGGAAATTCCATGGCTTAAGGCACAGAGTCATTTCTGTGATGCAATTATGTAGCCAAGTTGACACTAAGATGAGGTGACCAGGAGGCCTGATTCATCTCATGAGCCCATCCAGAGCAGATTTTCTTTGCACAAGGAAGTCATAGATATGAAGCCAGAGTGACATTTGGGGGCCAGAAGTTCTCCATTACCTCTTTGAGGGCAGAGGAGACTGCACGGGAGGACTCTTAGATGGCCTCCAGGGACTGAAGGAGTTGCTGATGCCAGGGAGAAAACCGCTCAGTGCTATCACTTCAAGGGAATACCCAGCAACCACTGGGCTTGAGAGAGGTCCTTAACTGATCCAGACCCCCTGAATGTGGGTGTCAGTGGGGAGGCCTAGGCAATCTATTGGGCCTTGGGTAGTAGATCAGTATTTATCCCTGGCATACAAATGGACTTTGGGTGCCCATCCAACAATGAGAGTCCCACTCTCAGCCTGGACTCTTGAGGGAGGGTCTAGGCCCTGCCCTGGATGAAATGACAGACTATGGACATCCCCATGGAGGGCCTCACCCTCCCTGGGGAAATGAGGGGATATTGGGGGGGGTTGGTGGGAGGGCACGGGAAGAGAGGAGGGAAAGGGAGAGGGACCTGGGATTGACTTGTGAAGCAACCTTGTTTCTAATTTAAATTTAAATTTAAAAATTAAGAGAGAGAGAGAGAGAGAGAGAGAGAGAGAGAGAGAGAGAGAGAGGTCCTTAAGACCCAGACACAAGCCTGGCCACCCCCAGATTTCAGTCTGGCGGGCCTGTGGGCAGAGAAGGCCGCTGCACTGTGCCCAGACACTGCCCTGGGCACACAGAGAGAGTGGGGGGTCGCCTTAAGAACAGAATCTTACGTGCTTAGCTACCCTGGAGAGCTGGCTCTGTCTTTTCTGATGTGATCTCAGGTGACTGTCACTGCCCCTGAGCGTCATCCCTGCACCCCATAGCTACCCTCTTTGTCTGGTTTCTTATTCTCACACAGGGCAGGGAGTAGGAAATGAGCAAGGCCTGGAAGGACCGGAGTGGATAGTGTCTGGCTGCCTGAGGTCCCCAGACAGGTGACTCCAGCCTTCTCTGCCTCACCTGCCTTCTGACATTCTGTGGCTCCGCCCCTGCATCCTCTTCCTCCCCCTCCACTCCACTCTGTAATCTCTCCGCTCCTTTGGGACACTCTTCCCCAGACGCTTTCCGTGCCTTCTCTTCCTTCTTCACAGAGCTAAGTGTGATTCTCTGTCCCCGTTCCTGTTGCAAGACACCCCCCCTCACCAACACACACCAGCTTCAGCCTACCATGTGCCCACTGGTCCGGGCGCAGTCTTGGAATTCTTCTTGCCACGATTTTCAGCATCCCTACCTCGCTTGGCATTGGCTGTGAGTGAGCTTCCTGGAGTTAAGGCCTAGAGTGTTTCACTAGCCAGTGCCTGGAGTGGGTCAGTTCTTGGGGTGTGCCTATTCCTCAGCCAGGCGGAGCACATTCCAGCAGGGTAGGGCTCAGGGAAAGGGTTCCAGAGGAGATCAATCCAAGTAACAGGGGCCTGGAGGAACTGAAGGGCAAATTACATCGTGGGCATCCATGAAGCTGTTCCTGTAGAATCAATTCTCTGACACCAGCAGGCCCAGCTCCTTTAGGCAGGAGTGTGTAGTGGAGCTCAGAGGCTGAGGAATCACACTGCATCCGTTCAAATCCTGACTCCCTTACTTTTAAGTGGGGAGAGGGTTAAGAGGGACCCACCTGCTGTGGGGGCTCTCTAGCTGCAGCCTCATGAGGTAGTCGTGACCTGTACCTGTCACACACAACGCTGTGCTCTCTACTAGCAAGATGACCATATCAGTGTAAGAGAAGCTTCTCTTAGGAACCAGTGGGGCAAGAATCGAGTCCTGTTCTTGGACCACTCTGCGTCTCCAGCAGACGCCCAGATCCCACTGTCTTCTACCTTTCTCCAGCCAGCTCTGAGGCACCAGGCTGGCACCTTCGGGGAGGGTGGTCCCCAGCTGATAGGAATCTATGTACGTGGAATGGATGGCCTTGCTTCATTCCTGTCTCCCTTCCCCACAGTTCGGAGAGTTCCTCTTAGCAGGTACCTTTCTTCTGTGTTTCAGAACAAGCTTCACCGGGCAATGGAGATATACAACAGTCTGGACAAGGAGATCTTGCAGAGAAATGAGCTACTCGGGAAAATTGAAAAAGAAGCCATACAAGCAGAGGAGGTAGGAGGGTACAGTGTGCCATCACTCCTGGTGTTTGCCTCCTTCTGTCCACAAGGGTCACTGTCCACCAAGACCCCCATCCTTGGTTGTTAATCTAGAGAAGGAGCCCAGACCACAAAAATCAAAACAGCTCTGAGCCATGAAAGCTGATGCTGGATTTACAGTTCAGCAATTTACCAATGGGTCAGGCTCCAGGGTCTGCTCACAAAGAAGACAGTTCGCAGCACATGCCAGAGTACAGCCTCCTGAGTTCTAAAGATCTGTGTCTGCGCCCTTATAAAAAACAGTACAGCCTCCTGAGTTCTAAAGATCTGTGTCTGCGCCCTTATAAAAAACAGTACAGCCTCCTGAGTTCTAAAGATCTGTGTCTGCGCCCTTATAAAAAACAGTACAGCCTCCTGAGTTCTAAAGATCTGTGTCTGTGCCCTTATAAAAAACGTAAGGTGGTACACGCCTTTAATCCCAGCACTCAGGAGGCAAAGGCAAGCAGATCTCTGTGAGTTTGAGACCAGCCTGGTCTACAAGAGCTAGTTCCAGGACAGACTCCAAAGTCACAGAGAAGCCCTGTCTCGAAAAACCAAAACCAACCAATCAAATAAAAAACCCATAAGGTGTGTTGATGTAACTGATACGAGACAAAATGCATGATGTTTTATATAAAGAATAGAGATGGAGGGGGAGGGAGGGAGGCAAGGAGGGAGGGAGGGAGGGAAGCATAGCAGTCCTTCAAATGCTGAACTTGAGCAGACTGTACCAGAGATGGAAGGACTGTGACCTCTGGCCAGTCAGAGCTCACTGCAAGGCCAACGATCAGTGTGTAGAAGGATGGGTGGAGTCAGCAGAGCTGCCTACAATCAACTTTGCATGCCCTAAGCATGGGTGGCTGAATGTCCGGAACTGTAGTACACTAGGATGTTATCCACAGAGAGTCCTTCGGGAAGGGTGGAGGAGTGAATCCAATCTGCTGGCCTCCTGGGCAGAAGGGCTGGCCTCGGTTCACACCTGCTGACTTCTAGTCTTGATGCCTTTTAGTGAGACAGGACTTATTCACACGTAAAATAGAGGCCAGACAGACCCTTATGGGGGTGACTGGATAGGTCTACCTATAACAATGTTTTGTCAGCTTCTGAGCCATGAGCATCATTAGCATCGTGGTTTTGAGTGGATCTGAAGTTTCTGTGGGAGTATGTGTGACCCAGATCAGCTCTCAGTGGCCAGAACACGCAGGATCACCATATCCGCTTGTGGTGCCGTCTACCTCATGTGCGTGGTGGAGAACCAACTCCCGCAGAGAGCGCAGCCTCAGGACAGGACAGCAAAGCTGAAGGTGCAGTCTACGCATTGTGCTTTCCCTTGGATTAGGTGGCCACTAAGACGTGAAGGCCTCTTTCTGAAGTCAGGATTGCCACATTTTAGTTGTCTCATTAACTTCCGTTTTTCAGTGCCGGGGATTGAACCCAGGGCTTTACACGTGCTATTTACAAGGGTTGCACTCCTAGTCCGTCTTAGCTTCTTTTCTTCTGCTGTGATAAAACACCATGGCCAAGGCAACTTATAAAAGAAAACGTTTAGTTTAGGGTTTCAGACAGTTAGATGGTGGAGTAGAGGCACAGTGGCAGGAACAGCGGAGAGTTTACGTCTTGACCCGAGAATGAGGAGAGGGAGAAACCCTGGGAACGGTGTGGGCCTTCTGAAACCTTAAAGCCTGCCGCCAGTGACACGTCTCCTCCAATAAGGCCACGCCTCCTAATCTTTTCCAAATTATTTCACTAACTAGAGACCAGGTATTCTAAAGAATGAGCCTATGGGACCATTCGCATTCCTACCATCACATGACCCTTTGTTAGCTTTTTTTTGAAACGGTCTCATTGTGTAGCCCTGGTTAACTTGGAATTCCTTATGTAGAACGGCTGGCCTCAAATGCACAGACATGTACTTGCCTCTTGTGTCCTGAGTTCTAGGATTACAGGTGTGTTACTACCATGCCTCCCCCCTTTGTTAACTTGTTTTTATTTTTTGAGACAGGGTTTCTCTGTGCAGTCCTGTTTGTCCTGGAACTCCTTCTGTAGACCAGACCTGCCTCTGCTTCCTGAGTGTTGGCATTAAACACCTGTGACACCACCGCCCCAGTCTCTCCCTTTGTTTTTAGTAGCACACTGACTCCTAGGTGTGGGGGTCACCACCAGGGGCTACATTGTTTCTCACCACCCAGAAGCCATCAGCTTCTAACAGCTCCTCAGTTAGAGTTGGAGGCTCACTAGCCCCAGCTTCCAGGCTAGAACAATGGCTGCTTGACTTTCTTCTTTTTTTTTTTTTTCTTTTCTTTTTTTTTTCTTTTCTTTTTTTTTTTTTTTTTTTTTTTTTTTGGTTTTTCAAGACAGAGTTTCTCTGTATTGTTTTGGAGGCTGTCCTGGAACTCACTCTGTAGACCAGGCTGTCCTGGAACTCACAGAGACCCGCCTGCCTCTGCCTCCCAAGTGCAGGGATTAAAGGTGTGCTCCACCAACACCCTGCTGACTGCTTGATTTTCTGCAGGTCTTGTGCAGGCAGCCACAGGTCCTGTGAGTTCAGAGTTCCCGATCATGCTCAGCAGTCATTGTTTTTCCCTGGCCTTCCTAACCTCTGGCTCTTAAAATCATTCTGCCCCCCATCCCCCACCCCCACCCTTTGCTTCCCTGGTGGTCCCTGAGCCTTGGTTGTGGAGTTGATACTGATGTCCCATCTGAGGTCGAACACTCCATTAACTTATTTTCTGTACTTTACATCCCGGTTTCCTAAGTGGGTTCAAAGGATTGAACTCAAGTCATTAGACTTGCACTAAAACCCTTTTGTCCACTGAACCATCATACTGGCCCTTCTAGACATTATCATCAACACAGCACTATTTCTTAATGGCCGTCCAGGTTGGTGTGAAGTCGTGTGTCTTATTATGGTTTTATTCCCTGATAACTAATGACACAGAGCACCTTTTCTTGCTTGTAGCCACTTGCCTGTTGTTTTGGAGAAATGTGCTGTCATGTCCTTTTCATTTTTAATTGAGTTTTCTTTAAAAGTTGAGCTGTAAGAATTTTTTGCATATCCTAGATTCAATCTCTTATCACATACGTCATTTTGACTTATTCTGTGGTACTTCTTTTGTTTTCATTATTTTTTTTTCTTGTTTTTTTCGAGACAAGGTTTCTCTGTATTGCTTTGGAGCCTGTCCTGGGACTTGCTCTGTAGACCAGGTTGGCTTCGAACTCACAGAGATCCTCCTGCCTTTGCCTCCCAAGTGCTGGGATTAAGAGTGTGTGCCACCAACATCCGGCTTTATTTTTATTATTCTCTTATTTTTGTACATGAGTGTTTTGTCTGCATATATGTCTGTGCACCATGTACCCACTTGATGCCCAAAAAAGCTAAAAGAGGGAGTGGGGTCCCCTGGAACATGGTTGTGAGCCACCATGTGGGTGCTGGGAATTGAACCCAGGTCCTCTGGAACAGCTGGCCGTGCTCTTCACCACTAACCCATCTGTCTGGTCTTCTTTCAGCTTTTTTTTTTTTTAAACCTTTTATTGATTCATTGTGGAATTTACATCATGCATCTGATCCCACTCAGCTCCCCATTCGCTTGCATCTGCCCTCTGCCCTTGCAACCTCCCTTCCAAAACAAAACCCAATTTAAAAGAAAAATCGAAAACCAAACAAAGAACCAAAACCAAAATAAAAATGAAAGCGAAAAGAAGAATCTCGTTGTGGAAGCTGTAGTATTATTCTGTGAGTCACAGTTTTCCGTTTAGTCCGTTTATCTCTACTTGTAAGTGTTGATTGTATGAGTCACTGGTCTGGCTCGAGGTCTCTGGTTTCTGCTACACCACCACCAGTAATGGGCTGTCACTGTTCTTTCAGCTTCTTAATGGTATTGTTTATGGCACAGGACTTTATTTTATTTTATTTGGTGAAGTCTACTTCATGTTTTCTTGCACACTGTGTGGAGAGGTTGAAGGCACTAAGAAGCCCTGCCTAGCCGGGGACAGTGAAGATCTGCCCTGCTCCTTTACAGCCTGATTCTTTTTTTTTTTTTTTTTTTTTTTTTGGTTTTTACGAGACAGGGTTTCTCTGTATTGTTTTGGAGGCTATCGATCCAGCCCGGCCTTGAACTCACAGTGATCCGCCTGTCTCTGCCTCCCGAGTGCTGGGATTAAAGGCGTGCACCACCACCGCCCGGCTCAGCCTGATTCTTACATCTAAGTTTAAGTTTGAAGAGAGGATTCAAGAGCTGATAGAAAAGAGATAAGGTTTGACCGTAAAATTTATGCTACCAACTGCATTTGGCCACTGTGGTCTCCTTGTCACTTTCTGTAGATTTGAGTTGCCATCTGAAATTATTTCTCTCTCAATATGGCTTTCTTTCCTCCTATGGTCTTTGTACTGTCACTGTTCAAATACAAGCTGCAAACACAATTATATATGTGTGTCCTACATGAATTTGAATCAGTTAAGAGATCTGTGACGAGTGTTGACACGCATGGTGGTTGTTTTCATGAGGACAGGGATCTCTCTGCTGTCACTTGTTTTCAGCCTGAACAATTTTCTTTAGTGTTTATTGTAAAGCCCACATGCTAGGTTTCTCTGTGTTTTCTTTGATGTGGGACTCTTTTCATTTCTCCTTCATTAAAAAAAAAATAGCCCCATGTAGGTATAGTGGTGCGCTCCTTTAATCCCAGCACTCAGGAGGCAGAGACAGGCAAATCTCCAAGAGTCAGAGGCCAGCCTGGTCTACATAGACAGTTCCAGGCCAGCCAGGGCTACACAGAGAGACCCTGTCTCAAAACAACAAAAAAGAAAGTACTTTATTTTATAAATTTAAAATTTATGGGGAAATTAAAGTATTGTCCTTTATGCCCATATTATTGTTTTCTCCTATTTTAACATTTAATATCAACATGCTTGTTTCCATTAACAAACAATATTGGTTCATTATTATTGACTTAAGCCCGTGTTTTCATATATACTTCCTTTGTTTTTGCTTGATGTGCTGTGACTATTGCAGATCCTATCTAGGATATCCTTATGCTCAATGCCATATCAATCCGGATTTCTTCCCTTGTACTAGAAGATGCTGTGTCCTCACCTTGGATGTCTCATCCCATCTAAGGATCAGCCATGTTTTTCAAGGAGTCCTGATCCCTTTTAATTGACAATGGTTACCTAATGAGTAAAGCTCCAGATTCAGTGAGGGAACCTGTCTCAAGAAATACAATAGGATGTAATCAGATTCAGTGAGGGAACCTGTCTCAAGAAATACGATAGGATGTAATCAAGAAAGACACCTTCATCTTTGCCTCCATATGCACCTCCATGAAAACACACACACACACACCCAACACACACACCACACACACACCCAACACACACACACCCAACACACACACCCAACCCAACACACACACACACCCAACATACGCATACCCAACACACACACCCAACACACGCACCCAACACACACACACACTCAACACACACACACACCCAACACACACACACCACACACACCCAACACACACACACCCAACACACACACACACACTCAACACACACACACACACCCAACACACACAGACCACACACACACCCAACACACACACACACCTCAGAATCTTGATGGCAGTTTTTGTTCCCCCACACTTAGAATATGTTGCATTCCATTGTCTTGTGGCTTCTGTTGTTTCTGATCAGCACTCAGCTGATGATCTCACCATGCTTTCATACAGGATTGGCTGGGGTTTTTTTTTCTTCTTCTTTTTCCCATCTCAAACTCTTCCCTTTGCCTTATCACTCAGTGTTATGAGAGTGCTGTATTTGGTTTGGGTTTCTTTGCATTTGTCCTCATTGGAGCTTGTTAAATTATTCAGGTGTTTAATGTTTTTAAATAAGACTTGGGAGATTCTTATCCATGGAAACTTGAGTTTTTCTGTTCCTCTTCCCTTTCCCCTTTTGTTATTATCACTATATATACCACATTTCTCTGAAACTGTTAGTTTTTCTGTGTTCACTTTGTCTTCATATTGCATAACATTTACCAATCCATCTTCAAGTTCAGTGCTTGGTTCTTGTCTATTATTGGTTCTCCAAATAATTGAAGGTTTCCTTTCCACTATTGCATTGCAAAGGACTCCAGGTGCCCCACTTCCTAAAGATTTATTTTTTAGTATGTGTGTGTGCATGCCTACCTGTGGGCACGAGCAGTGAGTGCAGATCTCCTTGGGGATGGAGCTAGAGGTAGCTGTAAGCTGCCTGATGGAGATGCTAGCAGCCAAGTTATGTCTTCAGGGAGGTCAGTATAGTGCTCTTAACCACTGAGCCATCATCTAGCCCGGACTCCCCATGATGATGTGCCAGGTATAGTGACTCAGGCCTTCAATCCTAGCACTCAGGAGGCAGTGGATCTCAACTCGGGTTGAGGCTAGCCTGATTAATGTAGTGAGTTCCAGGATAGCCAGAGCTACACAGTGAGACCCTGACTCAAAAAAAAATAATGGTGATGGTGTCAGCTTTTCATTAATATTCTCTATTTGATGAAATGTTATCTTTTGCTGATTTAAATATTTTTTTAGGATTTTTTTTGAGGGGCTGGAGTGATGACTTAATGGTTTAGGTTAGTGGTTGCTCTTCCAGAGGCCCTGAGTTCAATTCCTAGCACTCACAAGATGGCTCACAACTGTCTACGATGGGATCAGATGTCCCCTTCTAGTGTACATGTAGACAAATCTCTCTCTCACACACACACACTCACACACACACACACACACACACACACACACATATATATATATAACACATAAATTGTTTTGAAAAGATTTTTTTTAGACAGAACCTTGCTATGTAGCCCAGGGTGGTTTCAAACTCTTGATCCTCCTGCTTTAGCCTTTTGAGTGCTGGGACTAAAAGGGCTGCATCACCACACCCAGCTCTCCAATAAGTCTTTAAATATGCTTTACTTTGGATAATTGAATAACTGCTTTGAAACTGTGCATTTATTCCTGTCCGGACTCCTCCAGAGACAGTTCATTTTGCCTGGTTTTCTTGTCCCTCCCTTTTTTTTCTTCTGTGTGGGTCAAATTTTCCTGTTTCTTTGCCCATCTCATAATTTTCAGAAAACTGCACATTTTAAGTAATATAGCAACTCCTGTCATGATGTCATTGCTTAGTGATTTGGCTGGACCAGCTCAGTAGATTCTATGTCTGCTATTGCTGTGCTATCAGTAGGCACAGCCTTGTCATGGCCAGGTGAGACTCCTTCCAGCAAGGTATTGTCAATCCTTCTGTCTTGCTCTAGCCACAAGGAGGCTCTTCTTTGTAAGGTTCTGTTAAACATTTGGCTGGTCAACTGTTTCGTTTGTTGCCACTTATATTTTTTTTTCGAGACAGGGTTTCTCTGTATTGTTTTGGAGGCTGTTCTGGAACTCACTCTGTAGACCAAGCTGGCCTGGAACTCACAGAGATCTGCCTGCCTCTGCCTCCTGAGTGCTGGGATTAAAGGCGTGCACCACCAATGCCCGGCTTTTGTTGCCACTTGTATTATTGAACCTGGCTAGTTTTATATCAACTTGATTCAAAGCTGAAGTCCTTTTGGAAGAGGAGACCTCAATTAAGAAAATGTCCCCACCATCTTGGCCAATAGGTGCTAATAGGCAGTGGTGCATTTTCTTGAGGTATTCTTGATGCAGAAGGGCCCAACCACTGTGGGCAGTGCCGACCCTGGGCTGGTGGGCCTGGGTACTGTAAGAAAACAGGCCAGGAAGCTGGAAAGATGGCTCAGGAGTGAAGAGAAAGCACTACTCTTGGAGAAGACCTGAGTTTGGTTCCCAGCATCCACATCTAGTCACTTATAACTACCTGTAACTTCAGCTGCAAGAGATTCAATACCTCTGAGGGTACTGTACTCATATCCAAAAATCCATACACATATACATATAAAAATAAAATATAAAAAAGACTAAAGGAAGGAAGAAAGAACAAGGAAGCAAGCAAACAGACTGAGCAAACCCTTAGAAACAACACAGTAAGCGGTTTCTGCTTAAGTTCCTGCCTTGAGTTCCTGCCCTGACTTTCCTAGGTGGCAGATTAAAAGCTGTGAAATGAAATAAGCCCTTTCTTCTTGTTAGTTTTGGTCATGGTGCTTATCACAGTGGTAGAAACTATAAGCAATTCCTCTAAAGTGGCTATCCCAAAGATCTCCATTGTTTTCTACAAAGTCCTTAGGGAGCCCTTCATACTATCTCCCAAATACAGTCAGTACTTTAGGCAGCCGACCGGAACTTTCAGCAAAATTCCTGCCGTGGACATAGAAACGAGAACAGTGGGCCATCTTCTGTGTAGTGACATTCCTGATGTACAAGTGGAACGTTCTGATGTAGTCCTTGGTCTTCACAGCATGGCCCTCACCTCACAGTTATAACACATTTCAATGCTTCATAATCTTCCTCCTCTTTCTCTTTCAAGACAGGGTCTTACTGTGTAACCTGGGGGTGTTGGGGGATTATTGAGGAGGTCTAGACAGGGATTCTCTGTGTAACAGCCCTGGCTGTCCTGGAATTCAATTTTTAGACCAGGCTGATCTTGAACTCAGAGAGATCCTCTTGCCTCTGCCTCTGTTGGAATTAAAGGCGTATGCCACCTTCTTCTCTTCTTCTTCTTCTTCTTCTTCTTCTTCTTCTTCTTCTTCTTCTTCTTCTTCTTCTTCTTCTTCTTCTTCTTCCTTCTTCTTCTTCTTCCTCTTCTCCCTCTTCTTCCTCTTCTTCTTCTGTCTTCTTCTTCTTTTCTTCTTTCTTCTTCTTCTTTTTTCCAAGACAGGATTTCTCCTCTGCATTGTTTTGGAGGCTGTCCTGCATCTCACTCTGTAGACCAGGTTGGCCTTGAACTCACTTAGATCCGCCTGCCTCTGCCTCCCAAGTGCTGGGATTAAAGGCATGCGCCACCAACGCCCAGCAGATTACCACCTTCTTAAAACATGTTAACAGTAATTCTTTTTAGTTTGCATCACAGTTAATCAAAATAGTGCTTGTGAAATTGGGAACTGGAAACCCATCCACCTGGAGAGCTTGTTAGAATTCAGACTGACAAGATGGATCTGGGGTTGCCCAGGTCTGCACTTCTAAGCAGGTACCAGTGCCAGACACATAAGCAATCCAAAGGCCATCCTCAGTGATGAAATTAAAGTATATATAAATATATACTCTCACACACAAAAGCACCTTAAGAAACTAAACAAGAGAAGGCATAGTCCCTAGTGAAGGAGAGAAAGAAAATAGAGAAGAGAAAGAAGGCACAAAAAGTCTAGTCTCTAGTATTTCTGAACTGGATAAAAACATCACAGTTGCTAGAAAAACCCAACATCTTGAGAGGGCCCTGCTCTTTGTGACTGTCATCCTCAGTTTGGGAATGGTATTGAGATGTGGGGATGGAGCAGGAGCTCCAAGACTTTCATGAACTGATGGGTCTTTCCCAACAGGACAGGGCCAAAGCCCAAACCTTGAACACCAGGTTACGGAAGCAGCTGGCAGAGTTCCGGGCTCCCCAGGTGATGATGTACGTCAAGGAGAAGATCTTGAATGGGGACCTGGAGAAGACCATCAAGATGTGGGAGAGGAAGGTGGAGATCGCAGAGGTGAGCTCTTGTCTCCAGGCAGGGTGAGTCTCTGATTTAGCTTTGACAGTGTGGGAGCGCCAAGTATCTCAAGCCATCAGCATGCCTCTTCAGGATTTGTTTACCGGGCTGACCTGATAGGGATGTTGAACGTGTTATGTCTATGAGAAATCTCTGCAGTTGTTTCAACTGTTCATCCAAAATGAACAAATACAGTGGAATTTTTTTCTAAGCTCCCAGTTTTTGTTGTTGTTTTGTTTTTGTTTTGAGACAGGGTTTCTCTGTGAAGCCCAAGCTGTGCTGAAACTCAACTCTGTAGACCAGGCTGGCCTTGAACTCAGAGAGATCTGTCTGCCTTTGCCTCCTGAATGCTGGGATTAAAGACGTGAACCACTACCATAAACTCTGACTTTTAATGGTTAAGGACAGTGTTCTTTAGGGACAGGGAGAGATTCTTGTTACATAAGTGTTTAGTTGCTTGTTTCTACAATGAATGCTACAATCTTGTGAATCCCTCCATACCGTGGACATTTAGTAACTGCTGCTTCTTACATAGAGAAGACAGTGTTTAAGAAAATGAGAAGCATTTAGTCCCAGTACTTGGAGGCAGAGGCAGGCAGTCTCTATAGTGAGTTCCAAGCTACTGGAAACTACATAGTAAGGCCCTGTTTCAGAGAGAGATAGAGAGGGAGAAAGAGTGAGAGAAATGGAGAGAGGGAGAGAAATGGAGAGGGAGAGAGAGAGAGAGACAGAGAGAGAGAGGGAGGGAGGGAGGGAGGGAGGGAGAAGGAGAGATGGAGGGGGGATGAGGGAGGAGGAGGAGGAGGAAATAATGGATTTTAATGGCTCTCAGAAGCCAAGTCCATGCATTTACATAGTTGCTATGGGCCTCTATGTTTATATCTAAGCCTGTAGACTTGAAACAGGTGATATGCACCTAGATCTCATGGTGACCTTCACACTTAGGGTGTCATTAATGTAACTTAAAAACCACGTGAAACTGGGATCTTTCTACTCTAGAATCACTTGGTGACAGGGAGGACATGAGGGCCCTAACTTGGCATATGTCATACCTGGAACTGAGCAGAGAATCCAACAGGGACACGTATCATCTCAATTCTTTGGACAAGAACATACTCTTTAAAACAATCTTTTGGGATTTTGTTGTTGCTAGGTTTTGTTTTTGCTTTTGAGACAGGGTCCCATATAGCCCAGTCTATTCTTCAGTTTATTTAAGCTTAATATGTAGCTGAGGATAGCCTCGAACTTCTGATCCCCTTCCCCTACCTCCTAAGTTTACCGCCACCCCAATGTATATAGGGAGCTGTAGATTAGACCCAGAGTTGTGTCATGCACTCTACCAACAGAGCTACATCCCAGCCCTAGAAAGGTCCTTTGGGTATCCATTGCACTATGATGATGTCTGCCAGTGGGGTGCACCACAGGACCCTGGCCCCTCAAGGGGACATCTGCATAGTCAGCAGTTTATAGATGGCAGTGGCCTACAGCACAGGCACATGCTGTTTTTCCCAAGTAACCTTCTTCCCTTTCCCCCCTTTTTGTTTTGTAGATGTCTTTAAAAGGGTACCGAAAGGCCTGGAATAAGATGAAAACATCAGATGAGCAGCTACAGACAGTCCGGCCCCCCGGGAAGTAGCCAGGAGCAGCCCATAGCTTGTAGACTGAGAAATGGTCCATTAAAGTACTGTAGTGTTTTCCAGTAGTGGGGTTCTCTCACTGTTTCCTGTGCCCAGCTAGTGCACCCCCCCACCAGGCCACATCTAGATGGTCACCAGCAGGGCCACATCTACCCATGGGAATATCTTCCCAGCCTGGCCCCTGACACATTAACACTGAAAGAACCACAGGGCACTCTAATGGTTTGACACTTGTTAGCCCACATTTAGTTCACAAGCATAAATGAAAGTGACCTTCCCACATATGGGAGTGGGACAGAGGAGGGAGAGCCAGCCCGGTGCTGCTGTGGGCCTGCCCGTGGCCGCCCAGGTGGCACCTATCAAGAGCAGACACCAGAACAGTACGGTAGATGCCTAGCATCTTGCACTCTGAGCTTCTTGTCTGTGGGATAGGTTAGCTGCTAGCTAGACACCGCTGCCCAAGAAAACAAGCACGAGGGACATCAAGATCATTTCTTGGGGCCAATGCAGCCTGTTCTGGCCAGCCACAGCCCCGCCTTCCCCCGCCTCCCCACCGTAGTAGTCATAGTACATAGGTTGAACAGCCACCTTCGAAGGCCAGCCTGCTTCCTGAAGACCGTTTACCCTGAAGTTCTGCCCATCATCTGTTGACTGGTCATACAGAGTGGACACTTTTTGTCCTTGGGAGTAGGATCGAGGCCGTTCAGCATGGCCATGTACAGAATACATGTTCTTTGTCAGGGCAACATTTGATTCATCAAAGTGGAACTCAGAGACCAACGTCTCCCAGGGGTTGATCGCGGACAGGGAAGGGCCAGCCCTCTTCGTCTTGGCCATGATCCAGTCACTGTAGTCTTCCACCTTGGCATACAGAAACAGGCCAGGACACGAGTTGCCTCCATGGGCCAGGATTCCTCTGAGGACCCAAATATTCAGTTTCTTCACTTGGCACATCATAGGGCTTCCTGATTCCCCCTGCAATAAAGGACAGCGGGCCTTAAGTTTGAGAAAAGCTTTCCTTTTTCATACACTCTTGTGCCAGTGTCTGTTTTAGAAGGTTTTACATTGATTCTCTCCGGAAATGGGCAAATTATGGGCTACCATTTCAAATCTAGACAGCCGCCACCAACTACAACATGAGGACACCACTCTCCTCTCTCCCTCTCTCTCTCCCTCTCCCTCTCCCTCTCCCTCTCCCTCTTTCCTGCTTGTTAGTTTTAGTCTGGATTTCGCATAACCTACACACTATGTTGCTACGGATGACCTTAAACTCTGAGTCCCGTGACTCCACCTCCTCATGCCGGAATACAGGTAAGCTAGCACAGCTGTTTTCTAATGCAGAGCTGGAGATCAAATCCCTGAAGTCAGGGCTGCATTCAAGGCAAGCACCTGTCTGCTGAGCTATTCCCCAGCCTAATTTCTCTTTGTATTATGCAAGTTATTTGTGGCCTTGGCTCCCTGATGGCCTGTAGCTTCCTGGCTCATCTCCCTCTGTCTCGGCTTTTGCTGGTACTCTGAATCTTCCCTCTAGTTTGGCTGCCCAATCTTCAAATATCAGTAATTCAGGTCAGAATCATCAAACCTGTGAAGCCTCCTCCTCTTTTTCTTTCTTCCCAAGGGAGAGCTGCGTGGAGGGGAAGGAAGGCCAGAGTTGCCCAGGAACTGGGCCTGTCCTGGGCCACAGCTTCCTAACTCATGCCCCAGCTGCTGCTTACTCCTTCTGCTCACCAGCCTTGCCATGTTGGAGCCTTCCCCTTTCCTGAGTTAGCAGTCCTATGGAGCTCAGGTGTTCTGCCGCACACACCTTAACTCGTGCAAGGCCAGAAGGCAGAGGCTTAGCATACAGAACTGGATTTGTGACCGGGGCAGGTGGTCTGGTTCTAATGCAATGTGGAGAGATTCACTGGTGCCTGTGACATGTGCAACACCTGTGCTGGGCACGCAGCATGCACTCAGGCAAGTGTTAGCTATGATCATCATGGGGGCTTCTCAAGGCTGTAAGTTTTCCATACAAAGTTGAGGGAATGGGGATGGTCTCAAGATAACTACTAGGTTTCGTTTATACCACCCCAGGTCCCCTCTTCTGCAAGTGCCAAACCTCCACTTTCACCTCCTGATCCTTCTGGGTTCGAGACAGGGGAAGGACCATTTACCCTCCTTGACTGTGTGGCCGCCTTGACTGGAAAAGCCAGGCAAGCTGCCAATGATGTGCTGCTCTTGCTGTTTGGACTGAGAGAGCAGTGAGCAGGGTGGCAACTGATAACATCAAACAGTTTGAACAAACCCAAGGATGAATAGAGAGGCCAAGGTTGGCCTTACCAGCCCCTTCCCGTTTGCAGTCCCAATGCACTTCCCCTTGCTCAGGAGGCGTGGCCAGAGCAGAGGTGACAGTGAATGGTAGACAGAGCCACTGGAAGCAGGACAGAGCTGTAAAGACACTGTCATGCCTGGGTGGCCTCTGAGAGGGCCAAAGCCACTCTGCCAATTGGCAGAGGGTTGAAATGTTATTCCAGAGTTCTGGCTGGTCACTTGGGATTGCTGAATGACCGGTGTCCATAACACACTAAGGCTGCTTGGGGCATGGAGCTCCCTGCTGAAGACTGGTGTGGTCTCCCTCCTTTCGCTGGTCCCACCCCCAAGTGGATCACAATTGTGCTTGAGAAGAAAATGGATGGGATAAAGGACACACATCTTGATGACTCTGACACACAGTAGTGGTCACAGATGACCCTGGCTATCGTATGGTTTTGCTGCTAACCCCAGGCACAGAATTAGCTAGGTTTTTTTTTCCTTTTGATTGTCCCCATCTTCCCACCTGGTGGAGCCATGATTCCTGGTCTCTGATGTAAAGGGAACAGAGGCCACCGGCCCAGGGCCCTTGAGACAGCTCTGTCTAACCTCCTGGGGATAGGGGCAGCTACCACACAGGGCCCTCTTTCACTGAGTGGTCCTCCCTCTTGACATCCCACCAAACTTCTGAGTGTTATAAAAACTCTAAAAGTTAGGGGGAAAGGTAAAGAGCAGCTCTGCTGGGCCGGGGGGGGGGGGGGGCATTAGTCAGATTCTGAAACTGGAAGTTCCTTCTATGTCTGAGAAGTGTGGTGTTCAGGACTCAGACACCAGGTCCCATTTCCAAGAGAGGAGAACATTCCAAATACCAAAGTCACCAACAGAGGTCTCAAGAGCAGAATTCAGTTCAAAAGCGAAGGGCTAGTGGCCCAGGGTGCTCAGTGGATAAAGTACACACTGAACAAGAGTGGGGGCGAGAACGTAGGTACTGAGAGAGTCCACGTGGCTCAGGACGGGGTAGGACACATGGGGGGCAGGCTAGCCAGACTGTCTGTATTCAATGATCACACTAGGTTTCTGCCAAGTGTTATTCCTACTGGAGTAATGAATCCCAAGGCACTGACCCTGCCCTTCGTTCCCTGTTCAGTAAGGGAGAGCTCCCAGGACCCCTTGGTGCAGTCAATGACTACTTTCAAGATTTGACTTCTACCGTATCAAGTTCTTACCAGGCAAACATTGTTGAAATTCTTATTTGTGTGACTGGCACACTCTGTTTTCGGGTGTCTACGTAAAGGACACAGGTCAATGTCTTTCACGGAGATTCTCCTCAGGATACTCATTGTCATGTGATTTCCTGTCTGGACCATGCAACAGAGAGCCCAAGAATTACTAACAGGAAGGCAGTCTTGGTCAAACCAGCAGCAACTCACATATCCAAACAGGAATAA